CTCTTTTTTGAAAGAGCTTCAGAAGAATAGGTATTCATTCTTCTTTAAATGTTTGGTAGAATTCCCCTGGGAAGCCATCTGGCCCTGGACTCTTCTTTGTTGGGAGATTTTTGATTACTGCTTCAGTTACCTTGTTGGTTATGGGTCTGTTCAGGTTTCCTGTTTCTTCCTGTTTCAGTTTTGGTAGTTTATAAATTTCCAGGAATGCATCCATTCCTCCTAGAGTGCCTAATCTGTTGGCGAATAGTTGTTCATAATATGTTCTTATGACTATTTGTGTTTCTTCAGTGTTAGTTGTGGTCTCTCCTCTTTCATTCATGATTTTATTAATTTGGATCTTTTCTCTTTTCTTTTTGATAAGTCTGGCCAGGGGTTTATCAATCTTATTAATTCTTTCAAAGAACCAGCTTCTAGTTTCATTGATCTGTTCTACTGTTGTTCTGGTTTCAATTTCATTGATTTCTGCTCTAATCTTTATTATTTCTCTTCTCCTGCCAGGTTTAGGCTTTATTTGCTGTTCTTTCTCCAGTTGCATTAGATGTAAGTTTAGCTTGTGTATTTGAGACTTTTCTAATGTTTTGAAGAAGGCTTGTATTGCTCTGTACTTCCCTCTTAGGACTGCCTTTGCTGCATCCCAAAGGTTTTGAACAGCTGTGTTTTCATTTTCATTTGTTTCCATGAATTTTTAAAATTCTTCTTTAATTTCCTTGTTGACCCATTCATTCTTTAGTAGGATGCTCTTTAACCTCCAAGTGTTTGAGTTCCTTCCAAATTTCCTCTTGTGACTGAGTTCAAGTTTCAAAACACTGTGGTCTGAAAATATGCAGGGAATGGTCCCAGTCTTTTGGTATTGGTTGAGACGTGATTTGTAACCTAGTATGTGATCTATTCTGGAGAATGTTTCATGTGCACTCGAGAAGAATATATATTCTGTTGCTTTAAGATGGAATGCTCTGAATATATTTGTAAAGTCCATGTGGTCCAGTGTGTCATTCAAAGCCCTTGTTTCCTTGTTGATCTTCTGCTTAGATGGTCTGTCCATTGCCATGAGTGTGGTGTTAAAGTCCCCAACTATTATTGTATTATTATCAATGTGTTTCTTTAATTTTGTTATTAATTGGTTTATATAATTTGCTGCTCCTGTGTTAGGAGCATAAATATTTATAATTGTTAGATCATCTTGTTGGATAGACACCTTAATTATGATATAGTGTCCCTCTTCATCCCTTACTACAGTCTTTCATTTAAAATCTAATTTGTCTGATATGAGGATTGCTATTCCAGCTTTCTTTTGAGGTCCATTAGCATGATAAATGGTTCTCCACCCCATCACTTTCAATCTGGAGGTGTCTTTGGGTCTAAAATGAGTCTCTTGTAGAGAGCATATGCATGGGTCTTTCTTTCTTTCTTTTTAAAGATTTTATGTATTTATTTGATATATATAGAGAGAGCACAGGCAGGGGGATTGGCAGGCAGAGGGAGAGGGAGAAGCAGGCTCCCTGCTGAGCAAGGAGCCCAATGTAGGGCTTGATCCCAGGACCCTGGGATCATGACCTGAGCTGAAGGCTGACACTTAACTGACTGAGCCACCCAGGTGCTCAAGATCTTGCTTTTTTATCCAATCTGATACCCTGTGTCTTTTGATTAGAGCATTTAGCCCATTTACATTCAGAGTAACTATTGAAAGATATGAATTTAGTGCTATTGTATTACCTGTAAAGTCCCTGTCTCTATAGATTGTCTCTGTTTCCTTCTGGTTTCTGTTACTTTTGGGCTCTCTCTTTGCTTACAGGATACTTTAATATTTCTTGCAGGGTTGGTTTAGCAGTCACAAGTTCTTTTAGTTTCTGTGTACTAGAAGCTGTTTATCTCTCCTTCCATTCTGAATGACAGCCTTGCTGGATAAAGTATTCTTGGCTGCATGTTTTTCTCATTTAGTTCACTGAATATATCATGCCCTCCCTTTCTGGCCTGCCAGGTCTCTGTGGATAGGTCTGCTGCCAGCCTAATGTTTCTACTCCTGTAGGTTAAGAACCTCTTGTCTCAAGCTGCTTCCAGGATTTTCTCTTTATCTCTGAAATATGCAAGCTTCACTATTATATGTTGGGATGTTGATCTATTTTTTTTTTTTTTTTTTTTGAGAGGGGTCCTCTTTACCTCTTGGATTTGAAAGCCTGTTTTCTTCCCCAGATTAGGGAAGTTTTCAACTGTGATTTGCTGAAATATACCTTTTGCCCTTCCCTCCCTTTCTTCTTCCTCAGGGACCCCAGTAATTCTAATATAGTTTCATTTTATGGTATCGCTGATTTCACGAAGCCTCCCCTCATGATCCATTAGTTGTTTTTCTCTCTTTTCCTCAGCTTCCTTCCTTTCCATCAACTTGTCTTCTGTGTCACTCTTTCTTCTGCCCCGTTTACCCTAGCTGTTGGAGTATCCAATTTAGACTGCATCTCAGTTAAAGCATTTTTAATTTTGGCCTGATGAGATTTTATTTCTGCACTAAGAGATTCTCTAGTGTCTTTTATGCCTTTTTCAAGCCCAGCTAGTAACTTTATAATCATTATCCTGAATTCCAGCTCTGACATTTTCCTTGTATCCATATCAATTAGACCTGTGGCAGAGTATTACCTCTGGTTCTTTCTTTTGTTGTGAATTCCTCCTTCTAGTCATTTTGCCCAGAGAAGAATGGATGAATGAAGCAAAATAAAAAACATCAACCATGTCCCAAATGAAATATACACTAGACAAATCCAAAGAGATCAGAAACTAAAAAATAAAAGTAAAGAAAAAAAGGGGGGGTAGAGAATATAATCCAGGTAGACAAAACAGGGTGATCCACTTGGTCCTGGGCGTATTTTGGTCTCTTTGTTAAAAGACACTAAATCCCAAAATTGTAAAGAAAGCAAAACTTATATATATAGAAAAAAAAATTGAATACAATGAAAGGAAGTAAAAAATGAAGAATATATCTATAAAATGTAAATGTAAAAAAATTAAAGTTAAAAGAAGACTTAAAAACAAAGAGTTGATAAAATAAGAAACTAGTTGAAAAGGAAAAAAGAAAGAAAAAGACAATTTTAAACTGAAAGATAAACGAATCATGAGAAAAAACCTTGAATTCTATACACTATTTTCCCCTAGTGCTGGAGTTTTGCAGTCCTGTGTGCTCCGTAAACTTGGTATTTGCCTGCTGTTCCAGCTGGTCTTCTGGGGGAGGGGACTGCAGTGCTGATTCTCAGATGTCTTTGCCTGGGCAGAGTTACACTGCCCCTTTCCAGGGGGCTGGGCTCAGTGTAAGCTGCTACTGGTTGCTGTATGTGGCTTTTGTTCCCTGAAGGTTTTCCATGCCTCTTTAGAGGATGAAAATAAAAATGGCCATACCCTGATCTCCAGCCCCAGGGCTGAAAGATCGTGACCCCTGCCTTCAGTAAACCCACAGGGATAAGTGGTCTTCACTTTTGTGAGTGCCAAACTCTGTAGACTCCTGCAGTTCACACCCACACTGATCCTCCTGGGGGAAGGCAGAGGGTCACAGTGCTTCTGTCCTTTGCAGGGCCCCCACATGGAGAGCCATCACCTGGTCATGCACACTCTCATGACATCCCTCTGGGGAGAAGGTGGAGGGTCACCGCTTTTCTGTCCTTTGCAGGGCCCCTGCATGGAGAGCTGTCTCCCAATCATGCCAGGGTTTGCGGTTTATGGCAAACAGAGCTGATGACCCCCTCCTGGGCTTGCTGACCCTAACTGGTTTCCCCACTCCAATGCTTGGGAACTCTGCAGGCTCAGGCACTCCTGTTCTGTGACCCTGGGGATCCTGAGACTGTACTGTCCCACCTAGGATTCTGCCCCCCTTCACCACCTGAGTACCTTTCAGGCAGGGACATCTCTCACTGGAGCAGATTTCTAAAGGTTCTGATTTTGCTCTCCAGGGCTATATCACTTTCCATTAGCCGACTTACAGAGGCTCCCTCTGCCTGCCATTTATCTTCCAAAATATTCCCTCAGGTTCACTTCTCCACACTTCCTACCTTGCAAAAAGTGGTTGCTTTTCTATTTGTATAATTCTAGCAATTCTTTTCTTATATCTGAGATTGAATTCATAGGTGTTCAGAATGATTTGATAGTTATCTAGCTAAATTCAAGGGACCAGATGAAACGAGGCCCCCTACTCTTCCACCATCTTGCCTCCCTCCAGCCTCACATCTCTCTTTCAAGATCACAGAAATCTTCTCCTAAAAGAACCCTCCACTGTACCCTTAGTATTATAGCACATACCATTACTAAAGCATCCTTGCCAAGGGGAACGAGACATCATCTTTGGCCTAGATCAGTCATGATTTATCCCTTGGGGTTGGGCATGGGCCTGACCACCCTTGTAGCATGTAGGTACTGGACACCTGAACAAAATCATGATTCTGTTAAAGGGATGAGGAGGAGAGAGGGAATGACCATAAGCAACAGACACCGTCATCCACAGAGAGGCAGGCAATAATTAAAAAGGGGTACCGTAGAGATGGTAATGCCTGCTTGAGTCTTGTCAGGAAGTAGTTATCAGTCTTAGGAAGTCTGGGGACTAGCCCTCCAGGTGTAAAGAAGAGCAATGCACTGCTTATGAGTATGAATACAGGGTTTCTTTTTGGGGTGATGAAATGTTCTAAAATTGATTGTGGTGATGGTTGCACACCATCTGTGAATATACTAAAATCTATCAAATTATATACTTTAAATGGGTGAATTATTTGGCATATGAATGATATCTCAAAGATGTTATTTTTTAAAAACAGTAAATGCAATGCCTTGAGACTAGACAAACTTAGTATGAATCACAAAAATGGTTTGATTCACTGGGTCAGATTCAGTGGAAAATTCTTGTAGCCAACCTTAGTTACAGTTCATCCATTCACAAAGGGTATGAAACTCAATTTCAGAACTTTTAATAAAAGGTAGAGAAATACCCTGTATTTCAGGTGTGATATTCCCTGTTGGTGTTTCTTTCCCAGGAATGCAGTTTTCCTAAGCTTCAATCCACTCAGCATGTGTGCCTTCCAACAGACCTGCAGCCACTAGTAGGTGGAATCTTATCTTATCTGAGGGGCTTCTTCTATGACTTACAGGGAGATGTTGCATTCTCCTTATGTATAACATCTGGTCTACTAATTAAGCTGATAATTTTCCTTGGATTCAGCTTTAACAATAGATATTACCCAACTTAGTTTCTGTCTTCTCTTTTGTGGCTGAGATTTGCTGTTTTGGGATTGGTTTGTTTGTTTTAGTTTTACCACAATTACAAGAAAGCATTTAAAAAATTATTTTAAGATTATTGAACTATAATTGACATACAATGTTATATTAGTTTCAGGTGTAAAACATACTGATTCAACAATTTTATATATTACAAGAAAGCATTTTTATCAGAGCTAGTGCTATGCACCTTGCAGCTGGGCGTTTCTAACACTCTGCAGAGGTGCAAATGAGCATTTGTCAAGAACTGGCACTTGTCCAAAGCTGTACAAGGGAGGGAGCTCAAGTCCATCTGATATACATAATTGAGGAACAAAAAGAAGGCCAGTGTTGCTGGAGTTTAGAGAAGGAGATAGGACAAAGAGGTAGGCAGGGACTAGATCATATAGGGCCTTGATGATCATGAGAGATTAGATTTTACAGCTAAATGTAATTGGGAGCCACTGGAAGTCTTTAAACAAGGACATGACAAAATATGATAGGTATTTTAAACAGATCAATTTGGAGCCATAAATTTGGGGGAAATACCTGCTACACAAATAACTAAAGAAGACTAGTATCTAGAGTATAAAACGTATGCCTACAGATCAATATAATAAAGACAAAAAACACAATTGGAAAATCAGCAAAATACTTGAGGCAGCAGTTCCCCAAAGAGGAAATCCAGATGTCAATAAACGTGTGAAAAATATTCAAGCTCATTATCAAGCAGGAAAATATATACTAAAACCACAATAAAATACCCATATAAGCCACTAGATAGGTAAAAGTAAGAAAAAATTCTGATATTACCAAATAACTTTGACAATAGTAATGCAAACTCATCCTCTTGCGGTCAGTATTAAATTGATATAACCATTTTGGAAAATAGAAGGTATACATCTTTTTTATTTTATTTTATTTTATTTTATTTTATTTATTTGTGAGAGGAGGCGGAGGGAAGGAATCAGAGAGAATCTCAGGCAGGCTCCACACTGAGTGTGGATCCTGATGTGGGGCTCCATTTCACGACTGCGAGATCATGACCTGAGCCAAAACCAAGAGTCAGATGCTTAACTGACTGAGCCATCCAGGCGCCCCCATGTTTATTAAGACAGTCCAATATCTATATTCATATATATCTGTATATCTCACATATATATATATCTTAGAATCTTGCATGTTAGTATCAGGAGACATGTATATTAGAATGTTCACTGCAGCACTAGTAATAACTGAAAATATCCCAAAGTCCATAAATCATATAATCTAACGATACTAATTATGGTCTATTATATTATGAAATTTTATACAGAGCTCCAGCTCTATCCATCAGCATCAGCTCATGAACATAATATTGAGCAAAAAGAAGCAAGTCACAAAAGAATACATATAATGGGATTCCATTTATATAATTTCAAATTGATAAAATGAAACTATATTATTTAGGCATGTATACACGTGGTAAAATGGAAGTAAGACAAGAGAATGATTAAAAAAAAAAAGATTGTGGGGGCGCCTGGGTGGCTCAGTCATTAAGCGTCTGCCTTCGGCTCAGGTCATGATCCCAGCGTCCTGGGATCGAGCCCCGCATCGGCTCCCTGCTCTGTGGGAAGCCTGCTTCTCCTTCTCCCACTCCCCCTGCTTGTGTTCCCTCTCTTGCTGTGTGTCTCTCTGTCCAATAAATAAATAAAATCTTTAAAAAAAAAAGATTGTGTTCATCTCAATAGGAAGGGAGGAGATGTGAGCAGGAGGCAGCCTTATGAGGTACTAAAAGTGTACCATTTCTATGAAGCACAAAACTTTTTAATTTTGATGAAGCTCAGTTTATCTATTTTTTTTTCCTTTGTTGCTTATGCTTTTGGTGTTATACTTAAAAAGTCCTTCTTGGGGCACCTGGGTGGTTCAATTGGTTAAGTGTTCCACTCTTGATTTTGGCTAACGTCATGATCTCACAGTCCTAAGATCGAGCCCCACATCAGTCTCTGCTCAGTGGGGAGTCTGCTTGGGATTTTCTTTCTTTCTGTTCCCTCCCCTGCTCATGCACACTCTCTCTCTCAGAAATAAATAAATAAAATCTAAAAAAAAAAAAAAATCCTTCCCAAATCTACAGACACAAGTATTTACTCCTATGTTTTCTTCAAAGAGTTTTATAGTTTTGGTTCTTACATTCAGATCTTTAGTCCATTCTGAGTTAATTTTTTGTATATAGTGTGAGATAGAGGGTCCAATATCATTCTTTTGCAGATAATGTTCCATTTCTAAACCTGTGTGTGATACATTGATATTTACTATATAATATGTTGTATATACTCTTCCATATGTGAAATATATTTCATAGATTTAAAAATACAATAGGAAATAATTGCTGGGAACTGTGTGGAGTGCCCTGTCTGTGGAGAATATGTTATAGTGAAATGAAAGACAAATCAGCAACACCAGTTGGAATGTCTTACGGGGTTTTTGACTGAAGTAACGGGATAGATGGTGGTGCCATTAACTGGGACAGCAATGAATGCAGAAGGAAAAAGGTTTTGGGGGGGAGAAACAAAATTATCTGAAGGATATGTTAAGTTTGAGGAGCTTTTCAACATCTACGTGGGGAAGTCAAAAAGGCAATCTGATATATGAATCTGGAGTTTAATGTGGAAAGTGGGTCCACAGGTATACACTTGTGAGTCTGTGGCATACAGCTGTCATAAAGCTATGGAACTGGCTGAGATTATACAGGGAGACAGTGTAGACACAGGAGGGAAGAGCATCGAGGACTTGCGTAGAGTGTTAATAATTAGAAGGTAGGCAGAGGAAGCAGTGCGTCCTCCCAAGGAGACTGAGAAGGAGCAGCCAGTGAGGAAGGAAGGGAACAGAAGAGTACGATTTCAGGAAATCTTAGAGAAGAAAGTGTTTCAAAGAGAAAGGAATTGTCGGATACTGCTGAGATCAACTATGATTTAGGCAGAGAACTAATTATTAGATTTGGCAAAGTGAAGATGGTCAGCAAATTTGATAAGAGATATTTTGTGGAGGAAGCAGGCAAAAACCTGATTGGCTTTACACAGCACATTGGGGAATTGAACACTCAGTGACCACCATTCAGTTTGATCACTTTCTTCTTTTTTACAGTTTCTTTAAAAATATACCAGGAGGCATGTCATCATTGGCCACCAATTCTTCTTTATAAAGCAGAGCATGTATTCCTTGTTATGTGTAGCTAGTCGGTATCAGAACTGAACCCATCATACATTTTCAGTCCATGTTATGGCTCACAAAATAGTGATTATCTAAAAAAAAAAAAAAAAGTTCTCCTGAAGCCCTGGATTTTAGTAATGAGCAGAACAAAAAGTTCTCTAGCACTTCTCCTTATGCCACGTATATGCAAGAACTGATTCATTTTCTAGACATTAGTGATTAGTAGCTTCATGCAACTCTAAATAAAATATTTGCTAGCATGAGCACAGAACAGTAATTCCTCTTTCACATTAAATGCCATTGACGTTATGCAATGTCAAATAAGTTGACAATGGAATTTTGCCAGTAGTTTGTTTTGCTTTCTCTGAGCGTATTTTCGACAACTTTCCAGCTAGTTTTTACAAACATTTTGACAACAGTGAGAACCACCCCATTTAGTATACAAGGAACACAACTCTGAATAAAATATTGATAGTTTTGGTCTCTTTCTGATTTTAGCAAAAATAATTATTTAATCTGTACTATATTGTTTTGTTTTAGTAATGAAAAATTTAATTGGTTTACTGTAGGTTACAGTGTTATGTTAGAAATTGAAATCAAAGCATCATTAATTTCTTGCCAAAACTTGACAAAGTTTCTTAGAAGATAGCACAGTGTGAAAAAAATAACTGCATTGCTAATTTTCAGATATTCACCATCACACTTCATATATTTTTTACTTGTTTCTGTGAAATTATCACATTTACTATCTAAATGTGATAATTATCTAAAAACAGGGGTCCTATTCATTTTTTATATTTATGACATTCTGAATTTTAATATTTACATTACCATTTTCATCATTATATTTTTGCTGTAGTGCTTCCAAAATTCTTAATAACATTTCTTCAAACATTGGAGACATAAGACCACACAGTAGTAACAACACAAAAATTAAAGTGTTGTGGAAATATTTTAAATCGAGATGAACTATACCCGATAATTGAATATTAGTGGAGACAAATTGCCAAGCACGGTTCTTATAGTTCATGTGATATTTTCAAAAATGATGTTATCAGAGAGAATGTAGCAGGACTTATTATTTAAAGACAGTAGTGTAAAGTTAGCATTTTTCCTTTTGGCGGCTAAATCACCTAAAAGTAAAGAGTAGAATAAGAAAAAGTATGAGACAAATCCTTAAATTACAAAATAAGTGGATGGGAGTGAGAGTATTGGAGGATGTTAAGATTGCAGATTTTAGAAAGATCTCATTAGATTTAGGGTTTCAGATTGGCTTGGTGTCAGGGTTACGGTTAAGTAGCAAAATATACTGCTTAAAAGTTAAGGGCATAGCTTAAGTCTCTTGTATAGAGCCTAAATATCTCATTTCAAAGGCAGGAATGCAATTCACAGGTTGGTTGCAGGAGCTTCCCTGGATCAACATGGTTCCAAGAAGCAGAGAAAGTATAGCAACGTATGTATCACATATTGGAGTTGTAGTTGCAGAAAACAGTCTGCATCTGTGACAGTGGAGAGAAGAGAGACTTTGCATTGTGAACATCCCTGTAGTGGCCTATCTCCATTGCCTGGGGAAAAGTCAAACAAACTCCCACACAAAATACTAGGTCATAAGCAAGATTCCTGTTGGCTTGGAAAACAGTGTAGAAAGCCAGAGTAACAGGAAGCTGCCTGGCTTTGGGAAGCCAGGAAGAGCAGTGCTGGCCTGAGGAAATATTCCTATAGCAATACAATTG